AGTCATTATCTCTTGGGCAATTTTCAGTATTTCACCTTGCTTTCTTGTTCTTTGAAAGTGGTTTCTATTCTGGGGTTGTTGTGAAACAAAAGACAGACAACTTTTTTAAACTTTAGTTGGAAACTATTAATTCAACAGCAAATCTTTATTTAGCCCAAGGTAAGGGCTAATAAAAACCTCTGGATTGATTATACATATGTACTCTGAGAAATCTCCAAAGTCAGACTGTAATAACTGGCCATGCTACTGAAAGCTTTCTGTAATAAGTATACAGTGAAAAATCACCATTGCACTTTGGGTGAGAGAAATCTAAAAAGGTTATTAAGATTACATGAACTGATTTATACTGTATTTGTATTGTAAAGCGACTGGAAAAGTGCTATATAAGACTAATGCATTAATATCATTATTATTATTTTATTTTTATTTTTTTTGCAGAAGTGGGTAGAGTAGCCCAAAAATAAGTATGGTGCCGAAAGAGTAACTCAAGTAAATGTAAATGTAACTACCAACCTCTCTCTATTTATTAGGAACAGAAGAAAAATCAAGCAAGTCCATAGAAAATAAAACTGTCTAAATGTGTCTACTTGTCCACATGATTCTTGTGTTCGTACTGAGCAGCCTTCAGATGGTTTATTAAATGAAATGTGAATGATTGATTTATTAATGCGAGCTCACTGAGCCGGAGCTGACATGGCGGATAAGCAGATTATTGTGTACATTATTGTGATCAAGTGTAGCCAATAAAACCGTTATGTACAGAGCCACATCCTTCATCTTATCTCGGCTCAATTAGGTCTGGCATCCATGGCAATGTTAGTGCCAAGGAGCTGTCACAACGTTCCATTTTGCAAATAAAAATCAAACTTCATCTCTTTATTTTATGTTATGTATGGGTTTACTCAAGCGAACTGCAATTCCCCAAGACAGCACTCAAGAATAAACACAAAACTGTTTACAATATAGAGCAATAGTGCAAGGCTATGAAAAATATGCAATAAAAACAACGTAAAATGACATTGAAAAGTTTGGTCTGAATGTTAAACCAAAACTATCTCAACAGTATCTTTCACACCAGCCAGAATACTTCCAATATTGAATTCAGTCTCATCTAGTTAGCAGTCGGACGGGACATATAACTCAGTAATGTAAAGTGCAGGGTGAAAAATGCATGGGTGCTGAGTTGGCAGAAGTCAGAGTTAACTTGTCTGGTCAGAAACTACTGTGATGATTCAGGTGTTTTCACTTCCTGCAGGAGCTGGACTGAGATGTGATTTTCTTGCTATGAGCATGTGGTAATCCGGATTCGCTCCCAAAGGATCCATTTTCAACCCGCTAAACATACACGGGAGTGCTACCAAGTGAATACATATAGACAGTAGGAGAGGTCATCTGACAAAAACAATTTAGAGGCTTCCTTATAAGATGCTGTACCTATTAAAAAAAAACAAAAAAACAGAGCTAGTTCTTTTTTAAGTTCCCAAAGTTATTCCATTTATTACAGTGGTCCCTCATTTATTGCAGGGGTTACGTTCTAAAAATAACCCACAAAAGGTGAAATCTGCGAAGTAGTCAGCTTTATATTTTACAATTATTATGTCTGTTTTAAGGCTGTAAAACCCCTCACTACACACTTTATACACTACATCCCTACATCCCTTTTTTGCATCCTTCTTAAAACTTATTGCTGCTGTCGTCTTAATGTTATTTTCCTCCTTCTTTATGTAATGAACCGATGATTCATTTATTCCATAATGGGGTCCTACAGCGCAGAGTCCTGCACCCGCGAAGTACAGCACCGCACCTGCCCGTTAACCCGAGATTATATCAAACATTTGTGCTGCATATGCCATGGACTGAACCAAGACTAAACCAGGACTAACCTAGGACTGAATCCAGGACTGAAACAGGAGGACTAAACCAGGACTGAACTAGGACTAAACCAGGAGTAAACCAGGACTAAACCAGAAGCGAACCAGGACTCACGATCGGGAGAGGCTCGGAGGTGACCACAGGAGAAAGGTCCGACGGAGAGCTCTACATCTCAAGATAAGCACAGCAATTGCTCAATCGCACAGCACTTCAGAATCACACTGCTAGAGATCGAACATTTATGTAAATTTGGCAGCTGAACACATTCTGTATTGTACAGGAGACATGGGACGGAGGAGATTGATTGACAGTGGTCTAAAATCCCTTAGCCAATCAGGACGCAGGGGGAAGAACATAATACGTGCTCATACGCTGTAAAAAAAAAAAAAAAAAAAAAAAAAGCATGCAAAATTGCACTAAAAAAATTCGCGAAACAGCAAGACCGCGAAACAGCAAGACCGCGAAACAGAGAGACCGCGAGACAGCGAGACCGCGAGACAGCGAGACCGTGAAACAGTGAGATCGCGAGACAGTGAGACCGTGAAACAGTGAGATCGCGAGAAGGTGAACCGCGTGAACGTGAGATCGCGAAAGGTGAACCGCGATATAGCGAGAGACCACTGTATATATTATTTCACACTTACCTTATACACTCCTAATTATTCATCTCAGCGAGTTTAAAAGCACGTTTCACAACTGATACCAGTGCAAAGTTTTGTCATGATGGTAACTTCCCGATTATCAGTAAAATGCATACTAATTAGTCACAGAAAAAAAATCACAGTAGACACCTCAAGAGCTCCTTATACAATATATCTGTTCTGGGGCAAGAGACATTTTTCAAATGCATGGAAGAAATCAGGCACAGCACCTTTAATGCTGAAGTAGAAATATTACAAGACCTTAGTATTTCTGTTTTGTAGAGTAGGATTAGAGGAAACAACATTATTTGGAACAGTTTGAGCCTATTAGGCCTCTGGGTTTGCCTAATGATGACATTCTGTTGCTTACACAGTGCACTGCACAGTGGTGTATTTGCAGTTCAGGGTACAAGTTGAATAGGGAGTTGACAAGAGCTCATTTAGTCTCCCAGGGAAATCTCCACACTTACCCAGTCTGTGTTACAACATTCTGTGACTTGTGTCATCTGTTGCTCTGTTAGTTCTTTCTAAACATTGTTCTGTATGCAAATAAAGTTAATTTAAGTTAAAAACACACATTTTAGCATCATTTTCTTTACTGTGCACATGATCACACAGAGATCACAAACAAGAGGTGTCCCTGCTTTGGCTCTGCAGATGGGTTGGACGGTCATTCCACTGTCACAATTAAGTCGTTTACATTAATAAATACAGATGCTGGTCAGTTTATTCTTCTAATACACACAACAAAACAGAATGTGCACTATCACATTACACTATCTCAACCACACATTCAAGATTCACAGTGCCTCTTTTGCCTTATTGGTGTACTTTAGTGGCCCGTGTAATAAAAGAGAAAACATTGTGTGTGCCACCTGTGGAGCTGACAAAATCTTTGGGAGCAATCTAAATAAATGGACAGTTAGAGGACTGTGTGAGCGAGGCACAGCTGCAGGTGAACAGCAGGAGGGCGCAGGCAGAGGCCACTGATTTCTGTTAATTTCATCATCAGCACCAGCGCTGTGTGCCAGTGTGACAGGCCAAAACAGGACTTCACCGACGGCACAGTGCAGCCAGAAACAACCAATCTACACAGTGTCCTTTCCAGAATTCTTAGTGACACATATTACATACATACATCTCATCATGTTGTTTTAGAATAATCTGGATTTATTTTTACTTGGCATTAATTTAAAAGTCCTATATTATGTTAAATTGACTCTTGTGAGTTTTAAGCCATGTTATAAAGTTGTTACCTGGTGAAAAAACATACCTGGATTTGTGTTTTGTTTCATTCAGATATGTTTGAGTAACCTTGTTTTCATCTCCAAAGACCAAAATGCTTTGTCCCACCTTATGATGTCATGAAGCAGTAGTTTTCAAGTAAACAGCTACCTTTTGTTCTGTAGAGATTTGCAATTCCAGGTCTGAAATCATCAAAATGATTCAAGCATAGGCCCTTGAAACTTTGTTCCTTTCACAGCACAATACTGAACTTACCTCTCTTCTATATAGACAGATATAAATATATGTAGGCTGTGAGAAATCATAGGGAGCTCTACTTTTTCGCCCTCAGCAACAGATCTCATACTTGTCATGGCATGTCCAATGATAAAAGTTAAGTAATTATATATGAAGGAATGCTCTGAAATATAGAAATGACAAACCGAACAAAGACATGTCCAGAAATAGATTACTGTACAGTGATAGTTACTGCTTTGCTCGACCACTGACAGCTCTGTCACATAAATCAGTATCAATACTTCGAATGTGACAGATGTGGCTATGTGAAGATTTACTGAGGAGAGCTCCTGATGGTCTGATGGGGGAGGTGCTGACGAGTTTAAAACAGCTACGCTTCAAAGTCATTGACATCACCATTGATTTAACAGCGTTTTGTGTCTCACTAACTTTGTCATATTTCTGCTTCTTTGAATACTGAAATTTATAGAACTGTCACTTTAACTTGCCAAGAAGACGACAATGCCCATGAGAAAATTGGAGAGGAAATGACAACAGCAAAAAGCTCGTCTAAAGACATGACAGCCATAAAGCTAAAACATGACACCATAGGAAAAGTGACAGACGCAAAATGCAGTCTTTTACCAGCAACATCAAAAGGCATTTTTTTTTTTTTTAACATTGCTGCTACTAAAATACATTTCTTTAATGAGAAGAAAATAATCTTTTGTAATGATGTGATGCGAACTTCACAAAAAACATCTGACCTCTACATTCTACATTCTACAAAAGCAATAGTCTAAATATTCCTCCTACTATTACTACTGCTACTACTCCTACTCCTACTACTGCTACTACTCCTACTACTACTGCTACTACTACTACTACTACTACTTCTATTAAAACTATCAAAAGAACAATTAGGGAATAAAAATCAAACTCCATCTCTAAATAATAGAACAATAATGTAAGCACAACTTTGGCCATGGTAGGTGTGTTGTAATGTATGCAGTACATGTGACTCACCTGTAGGGGAGCCCTCGAGCACCTCTCCTGTGTACCGCGTCTCTCTGAAGATGGGTCTGTTGTCGTTCTGGTCGATGACAGTGATCACCAGGATGGTCGGCCCTTCCACCAGGTTCCCCGCAAAGTCTGTGGTCGAAACCTCCAACTGTGAACAAGAAATGAAATAACAAGATCATTTAGACTTACTTAGACTTAGACAAACTTTATTAATCCACGAGGGAAATTATTTGGACACAGTAGCTTACACAAATCCAAATCCAATAGTTTTTGCATCACAAACTAAGCAGGAAAAATAACAAGAGACTGGTGTCAAATAAGGCATAGTGAAAATAAAAGCATATAGTTAAATAGTAATACATACACATATATCTCAGCTATATACAAGAGGTCATAAGGAGAAACAGTGCAAAGATGAAATAATGACTGACAGGAAGGTTAGCTCTTACATGAGAGTGAGTTGTTGTACAGTTGTATGATATGAATGTAGTCCTGTATCTCTCACTGTTTGTGCAGAGCTGTACCTTTTGGAGAATGAGCTCAGTACATTTAAGAAGTTTAACAATATAAGAAGAATTATGCTGATCAATGAATAAGCTCATCTGCAAAAGTGGGTATGTAATTAATATACGTATGTGTTTACAATGCTACCATATTTCAGTTACTGTTTAATTTGTAAGCATTCAAAATACTACTTTACTTTGCTAAAATCAAAGAAATATATTGCAGTACATCCAATTTAGGCTTCAAAAGGCACAGTCTTAGTAAGGTAAACACAAACTGTTTGAATCCTGCCATGTTTTTACACTATAATGAAATGTAAATGTATAAAAGGTGTACATATTTTATAGTATGTATTCTGATCTGTGATGAAAAGTATTTTCCTCATTACTGCTTCTATGATTGGCCTTCTTTGATTTTACTTGTAATTAAACAGTGCTCTTTTCTGATCTATGTTACAGTGTTGTTTCCTCATCACAAACATATCTGAAGTTGTGTTTTGCATATTTAGGCTGTTCCCCTGTTCCACTTTGTGATGTCATGTGGTAATACAGGAAGTGCTCCACTGTGTTTTCAATACACCTTTACAAATCATTTAGATAATGTCAACCCTGGTATTGCCAATCTTTACTAAACAAATGACAAAAGGTTGCTGTTAACTTGAAATATACCCCATCACAAGAGCATTTTGAGCTGTAGAAATGCTTACTCAAACATGTGCGAATAAAAGAAAACACAACTCCAGGTATGTTTTTTGATGAGATAACAACATTATGTCTTAAAGCTCACAAGAGTCAGTTTTGTGCAATAGGTTTAGGACGTTTAAACCACATGCTTCTACACTGACTGACAACTCACAAGACAAGAGTGGCTGTAACAATATTAAGAGCCAGATTAGCTCAACACAGTAAGAAGATTGTAAAGTGAATGAATAGAACAAAGCATGCCGTCAATCAGCCAATCAGATTTATTGTCAAACCCATTATTTGAATCCGGTTAAAAAGAGAGAAAATGACAAAGCAATTGAAAAGTGAGTTTTTACAAGCACACATTAAATTTGGTTCATCAAGTCTGTTAAATTTACTACCTTTCTTTTTTAAAACTGCCAGTAGTAAATTGTTTATTTCACCAAATTTAAAGGTCCAATATTACACAAAATTGACTCTTGTGAGCTTTTAGGCATGTTGTAATGTTTTTACCTCATCAAAAACATACATGGAGTTATGTTTTGTTTCATTCACACGTTTGAGCAATCCTTTATTATTAGTTTGTCTACATCTCCAAAATTCAAAATGCTCAGTTCCTGGGTTGAACTTATCTAAATGATTCTAGTGAAAGTCTATGGATTTTAAAAACATGGAGGAGCATTTCCTGTATGACCACATGACATCATAAAGTGGAACAGAGTGTTTTCAGTTTGAGAGAAGAACTGTGTTAAACATGTTTGAATGAAACAAAACAACTCCAGGTATGTTTATGATAAGAGTGTTTAATGAGTGACATTACAAAAGCTGTGAAATGTCCTTGCAACTTCTATTAGGAAACTGATTCAAAATATAATGTACACCCACGGATTAGTCAAATATGTTTAAAAAATGTTGCTAATATATTGTAAAATAGTCCAGTCGTACCCCCATAGCATGCCTCTTCACCTCATTTGGCACCACGGGCAAATTGGCTGGCCTACATTATGTATTTATGCATTCTCTACCCAATTGTGCTGCATCGCTAGTCATTCCCCAGTTTCACCTTGGGGAGCCTGCAGACTTTCCTCCCTGTACTTACAATATGCAAAATTTCAATTAAGCAAAGCTGCAGCAATTATTCAAGATGGGACAAGTCAGTCATGTTTAGTCAGCCCCCTGCTTGGCCTGCTTTCTTTAAATAGGCTCACTATCTTGTACTCAATTATTGTAATTTACTATGCAAATATGTATCTTGCGATGACAGGGATTTTTCAGAGAATAAAATTTCTCCATTGAGTTTATTCTTCGTTGTTGTATTAGATCGTCCTGGTCTGCTATGATAAGACAAAACAAAAAGATGGCATTTCTTTGCACTGAAAGTATTGTAGAACTGAATATGCCAGTTTGAAAATGGTGTATGCCCTGTGTATGATTCAGCTCTAGCACTCCTCAAAATAGTTTTTGAAGCTTTGTACCTTGTTATAATGTTCCTTTATAAAAGACAACAGGTTTTATATGTCATCCATGCATGTTTGAGTAATACTGTGATCTCTCCTCTGCACTATTCAAACACTCTTCACGGTTAGCTGTGCAATCTGGTCCAAGGCTTGTGGGTCGCATGCTGATTTTCTATAAATGTACAAAACCATGACAATAAATAAATAAATAAATGAAATAAAAATAACTAAATAAAAAAGCTAAAATCAATCATCAATCAATCAAACATGATTTATGGAGCACTTTTCATACAAAAAGTGCAACACAAAGCGCTTAAACTTCACAAACCTGACGCAATGTGTAGTAGTTTAAATAGTGGAATACTTGCTGATTGTGATAGCACTCTGAATGGAGAGTGACTTAGCATAGGGAGCAAGGGGAGGAGGGACTCAGAATGTTTTTGACAAATATATCATTTTCAAAACAATTCAAGTTAACATGGTGATTATAATTATGTTATGTGTTAACAATGAATAGCCCATACCGTTTTTAAGTTGCCATTTTCCATAAGCACATGTAAACTATAGGCAAACTTTGACCGCACAACTTGATTCAGAAATACAATTACAGTATTCTCTTGTGCAGTACACTTCAAACATATTTACAATCTAAGAAAATGATTTAGTCAAAAGCAAAATCTGAGTGGGTTTGAAAAATCTTGCCAGTCAGAAATGTTAATTAGTGTATTAGCTTGTGTTTCTAAACTTTTTTGAGGTATGCTTCTAAAATTCAATTAGCAATTGCTCTTAACGACAAAACATTTTCATTATGGGAGGTCTCCTTTGTTGTCATTTACACTAATTACACTAATTATACTAATTAATGTCCCAGGAAGTTATTTTAGGTTAAGAGCACTGGTAAGAAATGTACTGTGCTGAGAGAAAAAAAAAAAAAAAAAAAAACTGAAACAGAGCGAGCCGTAAACTTTGTAGATGATATCATTTTAGGGATTGACAGAGTTTAGGTGCATGTAATGGGATAACTTAATGTGATTTAAAAGAGATTATGTCTTGTTTACAATGTAATAAAACATCCAGTCTATAGTCTTATCTTGTCTGGTCGATACAATTTGTGAATGACATAATCTGTGTGTCTGTATGAAGTCACTGATCTGGATTGTGATTAGAAAAGAAAATTGACATTGATCTAGATACAGTGTGTACAAAGGCCTCCAGACTTTGAATAGATGCAGTTAGTGAATCACTAAGTAATCCTAAATTGCAAAGTCTTTACCTAAACAAACAACAAGCGATCCTGCCTTATTCTGCATAAAACCTGCAAACCCTCTAGTTTAGATCTGTACTAACATGATCTGAAATGTGGTTCTTGTATTTTGTCAGTTCATAGTTCAGTCTTTTTGTCAATTCTTTAAATGCAAATACATTTTATTAAAACATAAATCACAAATCGGATCACAATTGTAATCACAACTAAATTTTTTTCCATCAATGTTTCCAGTACTAGTCTGTAGATAATGAATATTTCAAAGGAAGAAACTTTTCCTTTTTGCTTTTTGATCAGTTCTGTCTCTCAGCATATAAGATTTCAGGTGCAAATAACACAATTGCCCACTTCGCACTGAAATATTTTTGATATTTCATTTAAAGATTATGATGAAGTGTACAAAAGGATTATCTAATTCAATGTCTGATTTATTAAAGTTTTAACAACATTTTAGGCAATTTTTCAGTCAGATCTCCTTTACTCAAATACTAAATAAGATAGGGGTCACTAAACTTTTTTCTCTGGGGGCCACATTATCGCTCCTGACTGTGATGGGGGGAAGTGTATGATCCTGACAATGCAGATGATATTCTTTGAAAATCGCCACACTTTCTTCACATAACAAAATACAATATGCAAATGTGTTACTATTTGCCAGAAAGTCATTTTAAAAAACAGGCCACGATAACTTTTGAGGATTGTCTTATAGGGCCAGTTCAAGTGTTTGGGGGCAAAGTGGCTGGGGGGCTGGTCAAAGGAGTGTGGAAGGCTGGAGTTGGCCCGCAGGCCTTAGTTTGATGACCCCTGAAATAAGATATCCCAAATCCTGCCAGGCATATTTCTGTATCTAATATGACAACAAAAAGAAGCAAGAAATTGAAACCTGTTTTTTTCATGTTTCTGTTTTGAATGTCCAAAAAATTTAAAATTTTTGCCATTTTTACACATGATGATTTTTATATGAAAACATTACATGATGAAAATCGTACAGTTACTTATATTTCTTACATTTATATGTGTAAACACAAGACGTTTCATGCTGATATCTCTAATTTTAAGATTTTCTTCCTATTCACCTGCTGTGTCTTGCCTTAAACATGAGCTATCTATTCTCATTAATATAGCTGTCTCTTTGGTCCAGTGAAAGTCTACAAAATTATCTATTGTATCTTGTCCCAGACATCTAAATGGACTCAGTATGCTAACCAGAGATCAGGAGGTCGGAGCATATCTGAACACC